ATTTGTTGTAAGATTGCTGATTACCTAGAGAGCTGCTAAGAATAGATAGTGTAGACTACAAGGAACAAGGATTTGGACCACTCATCATCATAGAGAGATAGTTTTGTTTTTCTGCAGTTTTTTTTTCATTGATAACACAATTTTTACAATTACTTTGGAAAATATATAAATATTTTGATTAGGAGACTTAGAATAATAATTGGGATTTTGAGTTTATTAACTTATATTGTTTGTACCATTAATTTTGAAGGTTCACGTACGTAGAACAAAATTTTGAGAATCATTATGTGAGATATTGTTTATTGAAAACATTTGAGTGTGAATTTTATTTCATTATTTTTATTTCAATATATAATGTTAGATCCTATATGTTTTTTATTATTCCGGTATTCTTTGGACCTTACCTTTCACATGTAATAGCATAGATATTGAAGCACGAATATAACCCTGAGATAAGAGAATTAAAAAGTGGGATAGAATCATAGTCATATCACTTAAATAATTTTAATTAATTAATTAATTAATTAATTAATTAGCTAATTAATTGCTTGGCGCAATAAGACTTTGAATATCACATTAATATATATATATATATTATATATATATATATATATATATATATATATATATATATATATATATATATATATATTCAGAATACTGAAATCTACATTTAAACTTCGAAAGTAAGTCAAAGTAATCCGAAATAACGGCAGATATTTCTTGTTGTGTAAATAAATTTAATACATAAATTAAAAATTCTCTGGTCACCCTGTATAAATATTACCTATCACTGAATAGAGAATTGAATAGAAATAGTCTTTGAAATACGGAAGTACAGTATACGAACCCTATACTCATTTCAAAAAGCTATAAATTACATGATCAGGCCCAGATAAGGTCATTAAAATAATATGTATGCCAAAAATCATAATTTAAGAACAAAAATCGATTTGTTTCGGAATTTGTCTACAAAGTCGCTCGAAAAATAAATTTATTCCATTATTTTACCCCTCACTGTATACGGTGTTACATTTAAAAAAGTATATATATGATTCACTTGTTAATATATTACACCCTTTCAATATTAAAATATTTGTGAAATTAATAAGCAAAATTTTAATTGGCTTATCTAACGATATATTAGTATACTTACAAATTAGTCTAGTAGGTATTATTATTCCATAAGGTAGATTATCAAAACAAACAATACATAGGTTAATTTGGAATCACAAAGCCTAATACGTATCACAGTGTTAAACTTTTTCGTGCAGTTACTTGTTTCTGTATGACCTGCGCCTTTAATATGTAATAATTTTGCATTCCTTTATTATCTTGTTAACTTAATTCTACCATGAAGAAAAGAAGCGACAACAATTTGTCGACGGTCGAAATTAAATTTTGGTGTAGGTTGGCAAAACGCTACAATAAAAGTGTAACACTTGACTAAAACATAATCTCAGTATTTAAATCATTTTTTCATAAAAAATCTAACAATGTTAGCTAAGTGTCAACTACTGGAAAGTATGGATTATCTTGTAAATTTAAGAATCTCTCACATGAAGCATAAATTAAATAGTTCATTTCTATGTTTATTTTTTTGTAAAAGCAATCAGAATTAAAAATAATACACAAACAACTAAATAACACACAACTGATTTATAGAAGTTTTTAATAAAAAAAATGAAAATAACAATCAAGTAAATATTAAGTCTGAACTATATTTAAATACAACATACTTCGTTTCAACCCATATCCGCAATATCTAGGCATAACCATGGATATAACGTGTAAAAAACACTGCCGCCAAAATAAGCCTCATCATCCACAAATTATACAGAACATCCTGATGAGCAACTGCTAACCTTTCAGAACATCGCTGAAAATTGGCTACAAACTGAATAAAATAATGAAGAACATTAATGGATGTATAAAAGTACTTTCTACTACCTAGCTCCCTGTCCTGTATAGTATTATAAAAATGGTGATTACAATATTGTGAGGAGCTGGCGTTGAAACTGCTTTACTATTCTATCCTGTCTATATCAGGTACATATTGGATTATGGAGTGACTTGTACAGATCTGCTAGTTCACAGATTTTAAGCAAAATAGATGTCTTGCAGAACTCAGTAATACTTGTATGTCTTGGTGCTGTGAAACAACTCCAGTTAAACGTTTTCATGTAGAAGCTTTTCTTTAGAATCACTCAAAAACAGTTCCTTGCAGATAAATTTTTTCTTAAAATATCCAAAACCAAATGTATTCTATATATAAATATAGCCAGTTTAAATACATACGATCTTATAAATAAATTTCGATCAATGAAAAACTCTCTGCGCATCGCACTTCAATCTAATCAAGATATCCTCAGTGATTTTTATTATATTAGTTTAACTAAATTCGTTGTTTCTGAATATCAGTATTGTGAAACTCTTGTATAGTAGTTTTTCCAATTAAATTAATTTTTAAACTAAATTACTGCAAGCTTCGAAGAATCTGTGGCAATATATACTGACACTTCTAAGTCCAAAAATGGCGTAGAAAATTCTTTTTTATATTCCTATAAAAGCACATCCTACACCTTCTTATTGTTGAAGCTATTGCAATCATGAAGCTTGGACCTATGTAACACAATCTACACTTGACTCTGCAATAATTCTTTCGAGTTTTTCGGGCAATAAATTTTTGTAGTAGGGTCTGCTTCTACAGGTCCAGGGGAAATCTTTCGTCTTCCCCTGTGGATTTAAATAGAGCAAGGGAGCTTATACCCAGTTTACATTCTCTGCTTTGACGTTTATTTTGTTTGTTTTGTTTTTAGCCTGAGTCTGCCCATCAGTAATTGTTTAACATGGGAAGTGACAGAAATAGATTTAGCGTTTTTCAAAATAGCCCTACGACAACGCCCTACCTTCGCCCTACAGACCGATCAGTCTTACATAATTTATGTTAAAGGCAATAGAAAAACTCTTGATAGAGGTATTAATTAGGGGCCATTGAGGTATCATCCTTTAAATGGCAACCAGCATGCATATCAAGAAGAAAAATCAACTCCGGTAATAATGGAGATATTGTATTTACCGCCTTTCTAGATATAGAAGACTCATCTTATAATAAATAAATTACCATCCCCTCTGTGGCTCAGTGGTAAGAGCGCCTACCTTTAAATCTAAAGGTCGTGAGTTCGAATCTCATCTGGGTGGAAATTTTCGTTTATTAAAAATTAATGAATGCAAATAATTTCTATCCTTGTGCGATTGGTAGGGATGTGAGGGACCGCAGACGTTCGGATACAATTAGCTTCGCTTAGCAAAGACAATGACGTCGACTTTGCTAAGTATCAAGACAATTACTCTACACACACACACACAAACTACACTAGGTACCTGACTGTACCATGCCAATGATCATAGTTGTCGAGGCATTAACCCAATAAAAAAAAAATAAATAAATTACCAAATTCCCTTTATGATGTAGAAACTTAAAAAAAATATCCGCTATCATATGCAACTGGATCAAAAGTATTACTGAGAAATGGGCTGATTCTAACAGAACTCTAAGAAGAGGAGATTTTGGCCGAAACAGCTAAGGGTCACTCACTTTTTCCTGCGGAAAAAGAGGAAGGAGGAGGAGAGCTTTTCTCCCTCCTGTGGTCACTCCTGATCGATGACTTGATAACCATAGGGTTTCGTTAATGTGTCGTCTGTTTTGATTGTTTCTTTCGTTAGGTATGTATGTGTCCTGTTTTAGTTGTCTGTCACTTCTTCAGGACGTGGTTCGCTTTGTGGGTTTTGGCACTGAGATCGCTGTTTCTCACTGGTGGTATTAGCTCGGTGGATATTAATTCCTGCTTGAGCTGAGTAGATGGATTTTCAGGGTAGTTAGAGGTGAAAGGGTTGGTGCTAAAATGGTTCTTTTCAGAAATTATTTTTGTTAATGATAATGAATTATATAGGTATAACTGAATTTAAATGAATAGATTATTGTAAAATGAATTTTTAATATCGCGTTGAGGGCAGCTGTGGGATCGGAAAACCACAGAAAACCGACCCCTCTCTGATCGTGGCGGAGCTCGAAGTGAGCTATTTAGCTAGCTACGGTAATAAAGTGGCGTTGATCCAGAATTTCCATGTATTCACCAGGAAGTTCGTTACTGGCTGAGGCCAGCAGTTAAGGTGTCTAATGAATATGTTGACAAAGGATGAGCAGGTAGTTTTGATTATGTTTTGGTCTCCAAAGTTTTGATCTTTGATGGTTTTAATCATATAATTTCTGCTCAAAGAGGACAACCACCTCTCATTTATGAGCTGGATGTTCGATAGTTGATATATAAAGGCGGCGGAGTAGATGTATCGCTTGTAATTTATTTTACTTAGAATTTTTCTCTTGAATCCAAGCAATTATCGTGTTAGGTCGTGATTCAATATGGGGCATACAATATGTTAATCCTGTATTTAATCACGGGCCTGATGTATATGATGAGGTGTATATCATAAGGTGTATATGATGAGGTGTATATGATGAGATGTATATGGTGATGGTGTATGAGTGGATGTGAATATATCCGTCAAAATTTTCCACATAGAACGTTGAGTAGAGTCACTTTTCCTTACTCTTTTGTCAACCTCTGGCAGATTGAGTTTCCAGTGTAGTATTTTATGTACACCACGCCTAGGTACTCGACCTGATCACGGAGTTAGGGTCGATCTCTCCAAAGTCTAAGGTCAATTCTTTTGGCAACATCGTTTGAGATGTATCTGCTATGATTAGGATGTCTGAAGAGAATCATTTGTGTTTTATTTGGGTTAGGGATTACACTCCATCTTCTGCACCACCTATGGACAAGGTATTGAAAAACAATAGTAGCGTATAGAATGCCGATTTAATAAGAATAACCAACAAAGCTAAGCTTTCCCTTTGGAAATGACGAAGGATATAAGTAGTAAGTAAAACAAGTATATAATTTATTTAATTTTATTTCAAAATAATAATATGATACTATTTATGAAGGTATGACTTCCCAAAGTTTTTGCAAGGTATATCCCTCTTTAATAGACTCAACAGCTAGTCCCAATTCGGGACAAAACGCTGGTAGTCTGTCCTTGGAATGACCTTCATCAGCTAAATAAGCAGATATAGAATTTGATATTTCATTTTTACTTTCATCGAATGCTTCAAATTCCGCAATTATATTATTATTGTGTTCTTTTGTATTCTGTGAAGATGTCCATTTATATTCCACTCCAAAAGTAGGCTTAGTGGTATAAACAGTATGTAAAGAAGAGAGTTCTTTAAACAGTATTTTAAGTTTCTCTTCTGGATCTACTTTAAAGCCTAAAACGTACAGTCCACTCGACTCTGAGCTTGTTATAACAAGTGCAGTTCCAAATTTTGAATCTCTTATGGCAATCTAAAAAAATACAAAAAATGTTATTTAAAACCATTTAAATTGTTTATTTTAAAATGCGCTAAAATTACAAGGCTCTTCACTTGTGACGATTATAGAATATAAGGAAAAAGTTTTATCACCAAACATTCATTTGGCTTGTAAAACAAAAATGTTTAAACATGTTAAAGTTATAGTAAAGATATTCTGTTAAAGATAAATCCTAGAACAACATTTAATATATTTATACTTAACCTCCTCATTGTTACAGCACATATTTACAATAGATATTTGCGCTCAATCATAGAAAATAAAGTGTTATTGTTATTGCATTTTTGGCGAAAGAGGCAGGTTAGAAAATACAACTTCTTATGGATTGAAATAGGTAAAAGAGATATTACATTATTTTTAACATTTTATTAGGCAACTGGTATTTAATAACCTTTTTAAAACTATGAAAGAACAAGTAGTTCACTGAAAGCCTGTAAATATTATAAGAATTACTATAAACGAAATAAAGTTTAAAGTGAACATTGGGGTAGGGAATTTTAGGGAGTTTAAAAATCAAACGTTGTCTCAGATAAGTGAGTTCCTTATCGTGTTTCATTTAAATTACCTCAGAGGGTACTTTTATCTGGGTACATTTGCCGCTTCTCTGAGGATGTTGTTGAGGGCTACTTGTATTTTCTTTTTATTTGAATTGCTTATGTGTCGCCATGCGAGAGATGTATATGTGATTATTGGGTTGGTATTTAACAAAAGAATGAAAGCTATGCAGTTACAGGACCCCAAAGGGTAGTAGTAAAAAAATATTCAATTTTTACATGGAAATCAAGTAGAATATTTCTACTTGATTCTTTCTGCCATGTAATTCAATAGTTTTTCAACTGGCTCTCTTAAAGTTACTAACTTTATATATTTTTCCAATTTTACATTGAAAAATCTAATACAACATTTTATTTTTAAGAAAAACAGATCGTAAACATGCAGCTTGGGACAGATTATTAAACGAATAAACGCATAATTTATGTAACTGTTTCAACACCAGACATTGTCAATATTTGAGTTAATTTGAGCGTCAACTTTAGATTTAGTTAGCGTTAATTTGATTTATTTTTATAAACAATATATTGTGTAGTTAGATTCTACCAAGGGAAAAAGATACAATTGTATTAATAGATAATTAAATAAAAATAATAGTGCACTGAAAACGACAGTAATTCTTTCTTATCTTTTACTAATTACCAATTCACGATCATATCTGAACAGACCTACGAGGGGTGACACCATCCCCAACATCTTAAAAATACAAAGGATGGTCGATTAATCTATCTATCTATCTATACAGCCCTAAATATCCATCCTTGGACATAAGCCTCCTCCTCCTTCCTCCATGCCTTTCTATCCTGGGCAATTTGCATCCATTTTGACCCGGCGTGTTTCTTCAGGTCATCTGACCATCACATTTGTGGCCTTCCCCTTTTTCGTTGGTGATTCCATGGTCTCCAATGTATAATTGTCTTAGTCCATCTTTCATCTTTCTGCCTTAAGGTGTGTCCGGCGAACTTCCATTTAAGCTTTGCTACTTGGGTTGAGACATCTGTCACTTTTGTTTTATTGCGGATCCATTCGTTTCTTTTTCTGTCTGATAGTTTAATGTTCAGCATTTGTCTTTCCATGAATCTTCCTGTATTTGCTATTTTTTCCATATTTTCCTTTGTAAACGTCCATGTCTGAGAGCCATACGTGTGGACAGGGAGTATACATTGATTGAAGAAGAGTCTTGTTTTTAGGTATTGGGGGTATTTTGAATTCTTTAGAATATAAGACAGTTTTCCGAATGATGCCCAGGCCAATCTTATTCGTCTCTTTATTTCTTCGGTCTGATTTTCTTTATTTAATTTAGTGATGGGGCCTAGATATATATACTCTTTTACTTGTTCTATTCTTGTTTGTGCCACTGTAATTATTAGTTCTTCTGGTTGATTAGTCACGGTTTTTGTTTTACTGTAATTCATCTTCTTGAGTCCAATTTTTGTCGAATCTGGTCGATTGATACCTCAAGTAAAAAGTTGTTAAATTCTTTTTACATTACTATTATGTATCAGGTACCTACTTACGATCAATTGTTTTTGAATTTTATGTTTTCTAAAAAACAAAAACAAAAATCATACGATTTCTACCTGGCGAAATCGAATTCAAATCTCAACCACCGTGCTTTTTAAAACTTGCAAAGCAAGCAGCTTGATCAATAAACCGGCAAGGGAATCTAAGATTGCATTCCAAATGCCGTTCATCATGGTCACGATTCGTAGTGAATTCAATTTCTGGTACTCCAAACGAAGTAAAGGAATAAAACATAATGTTCTTAGATGACGTAGTTACGTCTGTACATAGTTATTTTTGATAACTATGGTCTACGACGAAGAAAGATTTTGTTTCGATACGAAGTAGTGGCTATACCGTACTCAGGAGACCGAAAGAGGTCGAAAGACGTATATGCGGCTTGTCGCTGCTCTGTATCGAATCAAAATCTAAGTGGGAGCGCCCACCAAACTGGCGTGGCAAGTAGCACGTAGCAAGTAGCACGCGTCTAGCATCTTTCTTAAAATGTAACCAATGGAAACGAATGATTAGAATGAATGACGTCACTATCATTTTGGTGTGCGCTGAATCATTCGTTTTCATTGGTTACATTTTAAGAAACATGCTAGACGCGTGCTACTTGTCACTTGCCACGTGCCACGCCACTTTGGTGGACGTTCTCACTAATACCGTCATTATGTATTTAAAAATTCACTAGAAACCTTGACGCCACCTGTTGGAGAACTGAATCTTTTCGGGTATGACATATACAATATGATAAGACTTAATTATCATCAGTTGGTACTACAGCCCTTTGTGAGTCCTGGTCTGCCTCAAAACATTCTTTCATCCTTCCCTGTCGAGTGTCTGCTCCATCCCCTTGCGCCAATCTCGTTCTGCACATCGTCCAGATACCTGGGTTTAGGTTGCCCCTTCTTCTTCCGACCGGCCTATTTAGAATAAGACTTTTTACTACTACTTACTACTTTTAAATTTAATAATTTAACCTTGGTTTGTTAATTTAGTTCTTACATACATTTGATTAACTACAACAACTTACGGTATCGATTTGCAAATACGGCAGAGATATATTAAATCCTTCGTTGACATCTGCAAACCATACGAATCTGACGTTTGTTACTATAAAGGTCCCAAGGCTACCTTGATCACTTGATAAGTTCCATACACCACTGACAGTTGATACTACCTGCTCCAAAGGTAGAATTTTGAGCTGTTTGTTATGAACAACAGCTCCTCTTAATTTTAACTCCCTATAGAGTTTAGAAGAGTTATATGCTCTACAAATAAAATTTTTTATAAAAAAGAAATCTGTACTAAATATTATAAATGGATATTACACATAAAAACGAGAGCCTAAGTTTGCTTAATATGCCTTAATGTACCATGCTAGGCATGATTTTTACTTACTTGTGGACGCCCATAACTGAAATAAAATGTCGTGTATTTCCTGGTACCAAATTTGTAAAAATAAATTCATATCGAGTTCCTCTGGACAGTGTTAAAACCTGCAAAGCCTGTGTTGTACCTCGTAATCTCTGTAAAACGATAATGTACTAGCATATTTGGTATTATAAAAATATTTATACAAACAATTTATAATTAATTAAAAATGAATGTGTTTAGACCTTTCAATTATTGATACTGCTTTAAATTTATATACTACAAGCAAGTCGAATTTCTTCGGTACGGTATTTAACATTGTTATGACTTTGATTGAAGCCAAAACCTGTGCTGATTATTATAGACTCATCAGTTTGTTAAGCCGTTTATTGAAATTTAAAGGTTTACATGGTCGTATCAATAATAAATATAAAGGGATATATACCAAAAGGATATAAACCAAATATAAAGAGATACAAATAGTAAGAGCTTTAAAAGAACTAAAAAATAATAAAGCTCCAGGACACGACGGTATAATTGCCGAGCTATTGAAAACAAGCAAGACATTAACAATCTCTGTACTAACAGAGCTATTTAATAGATGTCTCCATAATAGCCAGATCCCTAAAGACTGGAACGAGAGTCTAGTAATACTCTTAAACAAAAAAGGGGACAAATGTGATCTACAGAATTATAGACCTATATCGTTGCTCAGTCAAGTACACAAACTATTTATGAGAATTATTAATAACGGGTTAAGCTACAAAATGGATAATTACCAACCGGTTGAACAGGCTGGATTCCGCAAAGAATATAGTACATCAGACCATCTGCTGACAATGAGAACATTGATAGAGAAGGCAAATGATTACTAACTTCCCGTATTTCTTGCCTTCGTCGACAATGAAAAGGCGTTTGATAGTATCGAGATGTGGGCCATAGAACAAGCCATTAATAATTGTAGAATAGACTAGAGATATAGGCAACTAATACATAATATATATGAAAATGCAACTATGATAGTACAACTAGACGAAAATACAAATCCCATCCCCATTAAGAGAGGAGTGAGACAAAAAGACGTAATATCGCCAAAGCTTTTCAACCTAGCCCTAGAAGACGTCTTCAAAACTACAAATTGGTCAACCTATGGCATTAACGTTAATGGCAACAAGTTAAACCACCTCAGATTCGCTGACCACATAGTGATTATAGCGAGCACATTCGAGGAACTGCAAATTATGTTGGGGAACTAGCAGCCAGCTCCCAATACGTTGGCCTTAAAATGAATATGAAAAAAACAAAAATAATGACAAACACAGATGACCCCAGCCATATAACTATAAACGGCAGTGAGATAGAACAAATCCAGGAATATATCTACCTAGGCCAAATCCTGAGACTTGACAAAGAGAAACAAAGTACGGAAATTACTAGAAGAGCAAGACTAGCATGGGCAGGATTTGGAAAACTTGGCTGGATACTTAAGAACCGCAAAATACCCCAATACTTGAGAAGCAAATTGTTCAACCAATGCATCCTTCCTATCATGACATATGGATGTCAAACCTGGACCCTAACCAAGGCAAACATGAATAAACTAGCCACAACAGAAAGAACAATGGAAAAAAATGTTAGGTATACGACTGTTAGATAAAAAGAGGAACGACTGGGTAAGATCCAAAGTAAAAGTCGAGGACATAACAATAAAAATTGCAAAACTTAAATGGAGCTTCGCGGGACACACTGCTAGACAGAAAGACCAACGTTGGAATACTACAATACAACATTGGAGACCTTACGAAAATAAACGACTAAGAGGAAGACCATAGATGAGATGGGCTGATGACATTAGAAGAATAGCCGGAACAAATTGGAAATATGTTGTTCAGGATAGAGACCGATGGAAGGAGTTGGGAGAGGCCTATGTCCAAACATGGACGACAGAAGGCTAAGAAGAAGAAGATCTATAATAAATGCGACGTATACCTAAGTGACACACAGTTTGGTTTTTGTAACGGATTCACATATTGTAATGTTATTTTATTGACTTCCAAAAGGCATTTGATCGTGTAAAGCACTCTATATTGATCAAAGCAAATATTTACAAAAACAAGAGGAAATAAAAAATATCTACAAGAATTAACTGAATAAAAATATATACTTACCGAATTAACCATCTTAGTATTTGTAGATAAGATGCATCCAAATCCTAGGGCTGAATCAGAAATCAATAAATAAAATAATATGTAAAGAGGACAATAGCTAACAACAGTCTTAAGTCATTAGGTATTAGTTAAGAGAATTTTTAGTCACTAAAATAAAACCCGACTAGATTGAAGTATATCGTAATGTAAAAGAAGAGAGATTTTTCTAGAAAAAAGACAGGCATTCATGACTTCCTGGAACATAAACCAGCACCTTCTTTTAAGAAACAAATAACAGCAATACAAAACTACCAAAATATAGCAAAATAACTTAAAGAAAAAAGAAGGAGAGCTTCCCTTCAGTGTCATAAGTTATATCTGGTTTAGAGTTTCAGCTAGATTTATTTTGTAAAACAAACATAAAATTATTTGCAAAGAATCTCGCAAATGAATGTTTATACCTATCATATTTGCCACTGTATTATACATATTTTAGCCTTTTCAGCCTAATCAATTATCCTGAAAGAACAGGAAGAATGTTTGGAGCAATTTATGGAAATGGCATTGGGAGAAAGCGATATATGTTTAAGCTCGAATAAAACTAGAATGGCATTTGAAGAAAACCATATAACTTTAAGTTTGAATAAAACTGTAAAGAAAAAACTGATGAGCAGGGGTGAAATATAATAATAATGTAGACTAAGATGTACAGGATTCCTTGCAAGAGAAAATGAAAGCTACTCTTCCAGACGAACTCTATTTTCAATATTTGGCAATGTTCAGAAAGTACAGGCGAAACAGAAACATATTAAGGAACGTTGGGGCTCAACTAACGTTTAAGTACCACTGACGATGATAAATTTTAACTTATTCTAATATATGCACTTACATAAATTGATACGTGGACTAGATGATGAATGCCATAAAACTCTAATATTTGTGATAATCAGTCTACCTCTGAAACCACTGTTACCTTTGGTATCCTCGATATTATCTAGTTTATCTATCACCTTTTCTCCGTTAATTAGCTTCATTTTCCTAAAATTAAAATAAAAATTTACTTCGGAAATATATGTATATAAGAAACAGAGCAAAACTACAGACAGATAGAGAAAATACCCAAAATGCGATCGAAAATATAAACGATCAAAAAGTTTTTACACACCAAGTATTTATAAGTATAATTTAGATCGTTCTCTAAATCTATCTTCTTCTTCATCAGATGCAAATCCACTAATGGATGTTAGGGATCACATTTTCCATTAATTCACTATTTCTTGTAATATGTATCAGAGATTGTATGTCGTTAATCCCTGTCCATTGTCCTATTTATATCTAAATCTATACAGTTCGCAATTGTTTTAATTTCACAGTATATTTTAAGATCATCCGCAAAACATAATTTTCTGTTATTGATATCTAAAAATAAATCATTGATATATAATAGGAGCAACAATGGACCTAAATTTGATCCCTGTGGAACACCGGATGTAATAATAATTAATTCTGATATGAAATCATTATAAGATACAAATTGGTTCCTACCTATTAAATAGCTTTCAAGTAACTTTAAGATGTTTCCAGAAAATTCCAAATTTAATAATTTTAAAAGAAGGTATTTGTGATCAACCTTGTCAAACACTTTAGAAAAATCAGTATATATCACATTTACTTGACCTTATGACTTATTGACAAATATATTGAGTTATTGCAGCTAAATTTGATACAGTAGAGCGTTTATCCATAAAGCCATGTTGATAAGGTGATATCCATCCCCTAACAGAAGGGTAAATACGATTATATAGATTTACTTCGAAAACCTTTGACAAATTTTGTAACAACGATACCGGCCTGTAATTGGATACATCAGATTTCGTTCCGTTTTTGAATACAGGAGTATATGGAAATCAGAGAAGACATAACAAATAATAACAAATATATCAAAATGAAAGGAGCAGAGACTGTCTATAGTTTTAAACAAGTGTTAGGACAAGGGAAAAGAAGGAAAATCAATAAACAAAAGAATAATCAAGGAAAGCAAAATAGGGTCACTATATCCATTACTGAAAGCAAAAAATGTGTCTAGAACAGCTAAACTGTGAGTCTACAAGACAGTAATCAGACCCACAGTGATGTATGCCAGCGGAATGTGGATTATAAACCAGAAGGAAGAAAAGAAAGTAGATATCTGTGAAAGAAAGGTGCTCAGAAAAATCTTAGTCAGTGCTCAGAGGAATAAAGACGGCAGAAAATATTTGGAGAAGATAAAAAAATAAAGAAATAGGATGTATGGAAAACCAACAATTACGGCAAAAATACGAGCCCAATGAGCTAGATGGCTTGCTCACATTATACGAATGCCCGAGAATTAAAAATTTAAAACAATACGGAACGAGGGAGAAATTGGGAAAAAAGAAGAGGGCGTTCAAAGAAGAAATGGTTGGCAGCAGTAAAGGAAGACTTGTCAGAAATAGGCGTGAGAAATTGGAGTGTGAAGATAAGGTGCCGAAAAAAAATGGAGGGACATAATCAAGTTTTTGAAAGCCAGGGGCCTTTGGAATTTTCTCTCTAAGCTCGAAAACCTTTTTAGAAACACCATGTTTGAAAAATTATACAATTTGTTTTCTTCTTTTTACTCGAGCCGATTTTTTTTTTATTAGTTTAAATTTCATTTGCCTCTTAAGACTTTATAAGAGGACACTCATTCAATAATAGATAACTTTGACATTTTTAAAATGAGAATGACAACCTATCTCTTAACCTAAATTGATAAATAAACTCAAATATTCGATAAAGATCAACTTGGAGGTTAAGACTAGAGCGTTTTTCTTCTATATCTCATTGAAATTCCTAATATTGAAAAAACCATAAACTATATTATTTTAGGGTAATCTTTATATTTATTAATATTTTTGGAAGACTAACTTATTTGACCTAATCTAACTCAACCTAACTCTTTTACTTTTAACTTAATGAACAATCACAAACATTCGTAGGGTACCAACTTTGAGGTTAAGAATACAATGCTTTTCTTCTATTCTGTTCTAATTTGTCTAATTTGATAAAAACATTTAATATAATATTTTACAGTGATCTCTATACTTAATAACAGTTTTGGTACATTTATCAATATCTTATTTATTTTAAAATCGTGCAATCCTTCAAAAAGTTTAGTATATAATACCAACTATAAATCTACGATTTCTAATATGTACTTACGAATATGGTATATCAAATCTAACTTCCTTGTCTTCCCATTGTAGTGCCATTTTAAATAAGTTTGGATATTCACACAATGGTTACAAATTACCCATGTCTTTAGACATGCATTATTGATTATTCTGTTACCTCTGTTGCTTCAGCAACAGACAATCATAACAAATACCATCTGAATGTATTTTAATGTTTTGATGATATTTTTGTTAAAACTAATAAGCATAATATTCGAGTTATTTTGAAAGGATAATTCACTATAAATGAGTTCATTATATTTTTGTTTTATAACTTAAAAAAAATGTTAATGTAAAATTTTTGCGTTACAAATATAAACTGCTCTCATTAAAAGTTGTTAGGTGAATAAATATTGGGGATAAGGATAGTGTAAAAAAATTTTAAACAAAAACAATTTTTAAACATAAATGGGAAACGGTTCTTTATTTTAAAATAAATTAGTAAAAATTTATCTGTTTTATAAACTCTATAAAAATGAAAAACTTCTTTCCAACAAAGACTTAGTTCATTTTAATGAAAAATATATTTTATAAACATTATCGATGAATATAAAACGAGTTGGTACATAATAAAATTCAGGTAAAGAGGAGAGGTAACATGTTTGTTATTTGCTTCGACATTCTGGACTGCTGTACTACAAGTTATTGTGTTTTTATTTTTGGTTAAAATCAACTAGGAATAAGTAGAACTAGATTTTTGGTTTATCAGCAACCAGTAATTATATTTAGATTAACGAGTTCTTGTTTTAATTGCATCAAAATAGATTTTGTTGTTTTTGTCTGGGCACCTGTTGCACTGAATGTTGATCTAGGAATTCAGAAATGTTTATAATTATCGGTGAATACAAAACGAGTTGGTTCACAAAAAAAATTCATGTAATGTGGAGACATTTTTTGTTATTTACTTCGAATTCTGGACTACTGTAATACAAGTTATTGAGTTTTTATTTTTGATTAAAATGAACTGGGAATAAGTAGAACTAGATATTTTGTTTATCAGCAAACAGTAATTATATTTAGATGAATAAAATTATTACAACAGAATGGTAATTCCTATTAACGAAACTCACACATATTAGAACATGCAACCAAACAATCATCATCAGTAGCTTTACAACCCTTTCTGGGTCCTGGCTTATTTTAGGATTTCCGTCATTCTGTTCTGTTCCTTTCTTTGTTTTTCCACTTGGTAATCTTAAATGTTTTCAGATCTTGTTTCATGTATCTAACTTTGGGTCTTCCCTTCGAACTTCTCCCTACTGGTGTTTGCCTTATTACATGTTTTGGTGTTTCAGTCTCCAACATCCGTTCAACATGGCCCATCCAGCGCAGACGTCCGATCTTTATGGATGTTATGACCTCCGGTTCATTGTATGCTGTGTAGAGTTCAAAATTATATCTTCTGCGCCATATGTCATTTTCTTTTATCCCCTTATATATCAAACGTACCTAATAGGTTCTCATCGCTTTTCGACAGTGTCTATATCTCTGATCCGTATACAAGGACCGATTTTATCAGGGTTTTGTATATTTTGCAGGGTTTTTCTTGTGATTTGTTAGATCTTAGATGTTTAATCAGTCCATTATATGTATTATTAGCGATATGTATTTTTCTCTTAAATTCCTCACTGACATTGTTATTTGCTGTAACTAGTGAACCTAGATCATGGTACAAAGAATGACAGGTATGATATTGCGCAGGCCACTCCCCCTACTGTCGACGTCATAATGAGAGTTGCCGTCATTATAATACATTTGTTTATAATTTGAATTTTATCAATGTTTAAACTTTTGACGTCTTTAATAAGTTTGTGGAAGATTTTATAGTGTTTTTGTGAGAGTTAAGTTGATCTGTAGGCATTTTAGTAAAAAATAATTATGATTAAGAATATATTCAACTCTCTATGCGAGTTTTTTGAGTGATCGTGGGTTTGTAGATATACCTACTTTATATGGGCAACAATTTGGTCTTTTAGAAATTATAAATTAGGTATGTTTAATTATTATTGAGTCAGTATTTAATACTCAACCATACTTATACCCATCTTGTATTTTTTTTTGGTTTCTTTTTGGGGTTTTGCTAAAAATTGTTTACAACGTAAACATAAAATGCGTTGTGCAGTATATAGTTGTTTAAGTGATAATCAGACAAAAGGTGCCGATAAATCTGTTAGGTTTTATAGTTTTCCCAAGGACTCGGTAGTGGAAAAACTGTGGGTTATTGCTTGATACCGTAAAGACAAATTTAATACTAAAACTTCAAGGATTTGTTCCAAACACTTTAAGCCGGAAGACTTTAAAAGAAATTTGCAACATGAATTGCTGCAGTATGAATCAAAGAAAGGACCCAAACCGAAGGGTGATGCGATTCCTTCTCTTCATCTACCAAAATCAAAAAGCTTATCCATAAATCAACTTGAAAGGCAGGAAAGGTTTTCCAAAAGGGAGTCAAAGAGGATTGTGGAACAGATAATTACACAATCTAGGTGAATATTATTTTATTCTACATCTTTTGGTAGAAACACTTTTAAGTATTATGACATAAAAGTAATATCTTAACATTTATTTTTTAGTTCTACAGCTGGAGAATCAGGTGAGGACTCGGTGTGACAAGGACTCAAAACTGATTTACCTGAAATTATAAAATCAGACGGGTATGTAAAATGTTCTAAAATATGCTGTGATCAGTCGTCTGAGTCTGAATGAAAACATAATATTCTTAACTTTATGCAATATATATATATATATATATATATATATATATATATATATATATATATATATATATATATAGTAGATTAAAAATATGATTTTTGTTTTTAGATTAAATACAGATATGGAACCTGCACAAGATCTTGAACTTCAAAAGTTACGTGTCGAGAACAAAGCCTTACTTCAGCAGGTTAATGAATTAACAGAAATGAAGTCAGGAGTAGATAAGATATTTACCAAAAGACAGCTAAAAAGACTGCAAAAGCCCAAAGTTAGAACAGTATGGACTACTGAGGAAGTCTCCCAAGGTATTGCCATATATGCAGCTGGACCAAAAGTATATAAATTATTGCTGAAAAAGGGTTATCCATATCCTGCTGTTTTAACCCTTCGTTCATGGACTACAAAAGTCAAAATTGTTCCAGGCATAGTAAAACCTGTTCTAAAAATTTTAAAAAACTCTCACTTATCCGAATCTGAAAAAATATGTGTTGTTTCCTTCGATGAAATGAAGATTCGAAAAACCTATGCACACGACAATGCAAATGACCATCTTTTAAAACCTTCCAACTATGTTCAGGTAGCAATGATGAGAGGACTACTGACATCCTGGAAGCAGCCAATTTATTTCGATGATTTTTGACAGAAAAATGGAAAAATCAATTCTGTTTGACATAATTAAGTAAGTAGAAGAGGCAGGATTTCATGTCTGTGCTATTGTTAGTGATTTGGGAGGTGGTAACAGAGGTCTTCATAAAAATCTTGAAATAAATGAAAAAAAGCCGTGGTTTATAGGCCCTACAAATCATAAAATCCATGTTTTATGTGATGTACCTACCACACCTTATAAAACTTATAAGAAATAATTTTCTTGATAATGGCTTTGTCTTTCGTGGAGCGGAAATTAATAACAACATTATTTCTAGATTACTAAAACTTACTTCTACATCAGATTTAACAATCTCATTTAATGTAAATGAAGAAATGCTAAATGTACGTAAAGAGCAAAGGCAAAAAGTAAAGTTAGCAACAAAGTTATTTTCAAATAACACAGCTCAAGCTATTAATAGGTGTGGAACACTAGGTTACTTACAGGACGAAAGTTGGATAGAAACTGCTCAATTTTTTAACTTGGTAAGCTAAATCCAAAAGTTGGTTATGTTTCTGTTCATACATTTTTTTGTTTTTTAGATAAATGATTGGTTCGATTTCCTTAACGTTAGGGTACCCTATACAGATTCCCGAGAACGAGTACAAGGCTATGGGTTAAATCTAGACGTTCAAAATAAGATTATCGACGAGATATCAGAAGCTATGAAAGCTTTAAAAGTTAAAGGAAAACGATCATTGTTGCCTTTTCAGAAAGGTATGTTATGTTGTTTTTGAAATATTCTAATTAAAACTATTCTTTGGAGCTAATAATTAATATAAATCTTATCGTCTTTTTGACAAAATTTAATTCCGTTGTTATTTTTAGGAATAATTCAAACTAACAATTCCTTAAAAAATTTATTTGAGGATATAAAAACTAAATTTAATATAAAATACATCCTTACATACAACTTAAATCAAGATGTACTCGAAAATATTTTGGCAATATTAGGAGGGTTGGTGGATTACATGACCATCCCGATGCTGTGGAATTTCGCTACTGATTAAAAAACTATATTTTAGGGAGAAATGACGGTTCTTTATCTGAAGCTGGCTATACAGAAGCTGATAAGGTCATTGATGGTCCAATTGATAACTTGGGAGAAGTTTTGTTAAGTAAAACATATTTTTTAAATTTATCCTGCGAAGCAGAAAAAGAAGAAGTGGAAGCAGACATGGAAGAACTAGACCAACTTCATTATGATGCACTGGAATATGTCAGTGGGTATATATGAAAGAAATTAGATCTGCCTGAAACTACGGATACTTCCACTTACACGTGGATTGATCAAGTATCCGAAGGCGGTCTAAGAAAACCTCCAGAAGAATTGGTGGCAAAAATTAATGAACTAAGTATTATTTTTAATAATTTCAATGGATCTGAACATCAATTAAAATCAGGCAAAAATTATATACAACAACTAATTGACTTATCGGAGAACATTGAATGTGATTATAAAATCAAACATCTTTTCTTCCGGTCTCGAATGTATTTTAGAATTAGGAAATTGAACCTAAAACTTAAAGAAGATATAAGAAATAAAAGAAAATTAATAAAAATTGTAACTTAAAACATTGTGTTTGTTTTGTTTTTCGATTTTAGTGCAGATAATTTATGATAAATTTTTTTCTTCCGTTTACGTTTAGACAAAGACTTTTTTCCTCCTCGATACTGG